CCGGCCCCTCTGCAGCCGAGGAAGATAGGGGGCCTGGGGTGGCGCAGGACCCCGTGATCACCCCGCTGGTCGGCCAGCCGGGCCTTTCATTCCCCTCTTCCTGCTGGTGCCACCCTGCCCCCCACCACACCTGGCACCTCAGCTGCCGGCACTGGAGCCATCAGACAAAGCCAGTCTTAGCTGATTCCCTGGCCTCTTCCAGGTGCCCCAAATGCTCCCAACCCACCCACTCACCCAGCCAGCCGTCTCGCAGCCCCTCCTGGTGGCCCCCCCAGAGCCCCCTGGTGGGCAGGGCCGCCTCTGCAGCTCAGAGCTCTGCAGGTCCCTGGGCCCTACCCGGCCCCAGCAGGGACCAGCGTGCCCCCCACCTGGCACCACATTGCCTCCTTGCTGTCACCTTGGCCGAAACCCTGGCTTCCTCCTCGCAAACCAGCTACACAGTCTCCTAAGGGGACACCTGAGGCAGGCACGGCGTTGGGGCCTCTGGGTACTTTCCCAGGAGCCGGGAGCTCCCCCCCTCCCCCCGGTGCTGCTTGGCCCCAATTCAGCTCCCCACCCCACCCCAACCCCGCTCAGCGAGATGGGGCCCCCCAGGGACAGACGCCCTGCCCAGCCTCCTGGCGGTACCTGATCAGAGAGCGGAGTCCGGCCGGTGGAGAGGAGGGGAGGGGAGCGGAGAGCGTGGGAGCGGACGCCTGGTCTCCCTGGGCTGGCCTGGAACCCGCCTCCTGGCCGCCCCTGGCGCGCGGGCTGGACGCAAGCTAGACGGTGGGAGCTGCAGCCTCCTCCACGGGAAAGGCCAGGTGAGCCCTGCCACAGACCGGGCTGCTGACAGGAGGGAGGAGGAACCTCTCGTGGGAGCCCCGGGGCTTTGGCCTCTAAGTCTTGGCAGCTGAGCCCGTTACCGACCAACATCCAGGCTCCCACACGCACCTGCGTGTGCCCAGCTCGCCTGCTGTTGGGCGGCCCACGCTGCACTCCCGGCGCCACAGCAAATCCCGCAAACCCGCAGCCTCCAGACCACCGTGACCCTGGGCGGAGGGTGGGGGGGTTGGGGGTGCGGCCCACAGTCATCTGCGGGGGAGCCTCTTACCGCCCAAATCCTTCAGAATCACAGGGGCCTCCCGGTGCTCCAGCCCATGGAAGAGGGGGAAACGAGCAAATCTTCACACAGCGCCCCCATGGCCATCGGCGATGAGCCCGAGATCAGTGGTCTAGACTCTAGGACATTCTTCACAGCCCTTTCCACCAAGGCGACACTCTGAAGCAACTTAAACATGCACCCATTCAGAACTGTTTAGATAAATCAGGGAAACTAGGATGCATTCAGACAGTGGGATACAATGCAGTCCTTACATTTATAAATATTTTGTCTGGCCGGCGTGGCTCAGTGGTTGAGCATCAGCCTACAAACCAGGAGGTCACGGTTCGATTCCCAGTCAGGGCACAGGCCCGGGTTGCAGCTTGATACCGTGTGGGGCGTGCAGGAGGCAGCTGATCCATGATCCTCTCTCATCATCGATGTTTCTCTCTCTCTCCCTCTCCCTCTCTGAAATCAATAAAAATATATATTTTTCAACATATATATCTATTATATATATCTACATATATCTCAATATGTGTGTGTGTGTGTGCATAAAGAAATCTGATTTAAAGCATTCAAAATATAAGCGGGACGATTTATGTAAATTATGTTATTGAACTGTGCCTGCACATGAGAAGAGCTTGGTGCATATTAGCAATTAAATAATACTGGAATGCGCGCACACAAGCACACACGCACAGGCACAGGCACACACACACAAGCACACACATAAGCACACGCACACACGCACAGGCACAGGCACACACACAAGCACAGGCACACAGGCACAGGCACACACACACAGGCACACACACAAGCACAGGCACACACAGTCACAGGCACACACACACAGAAGAATTCCAGGAAAGGTAGCACAGAATGGAACGTTTATTTCTGAGTGGGAGAATCTCTCTATTAAGTGGTTTCATTTTCTTTGTGTTTTCTGGTGCTTGCTGAATTTTCTGCATTAACAAGTATGACTTCTGTAATTAGAGGAAAGATAATGAATGTTCTAGAATAAAATAGTGCCTTGATTATGTTGGCACTTAAATAGGCATTATTCACGGTTTTATACCAGTGATTCCTCATCCCGGCGAGTTGGGACGGGGACCTTGTCAGTCTCGGAGAAAGCGGGGCACAGTTTCTCTGTTTTTAATGACATTTAATTTATTTTTTAAAACTTCAAATAACCACCAAGAAAAGGGCATCTGATGTTTATCTTCTCACAAATGGGGCCGCTGGTTTAGAGTCCAAGTCACGAGGTTGGGGAGTCAGTTTTTAAAATGTGCTCTAGCCATTGACGACTGTCCAAGCCAAACAGAGGACTGAGGCCTGGTCGTGTTTAGATAAATCCGTGATGAAACAGGAAGAATTACCGTGAAACCAGGGCAGAGGAAGTGCTACACTTACGGTGGGAACTGAGGTGGCGGCTCCCGGGCGGGTTTGCTGTCGGCCCGAGGGGTTAACAGTGAAGGTTTGAGGTTGTTTGAATGGACAGCCTCCTGGTGGGCAGCCAGGCGCCCTGAGTGTCTGTGGGACCATCCGCTTCCATCCCACCCCCACCCATTTCTGCTGCTGCACACACGGACCCCTCAGGTTTCAGAAGCACATGGGGCCGGGACTCGTGTCTGCTTCGTGCTCAGGTTTGTCTGAAGGGGGCCAGGGACCGTTGAGAGGGGGGTTGGTTGGTATTTTAAGGTTATTTTTACATCGTTTTCCTTCCACAACCACAGCCTTATCTGCCGGCTCGGAAAGGAGGTGGGACAGAAAGAACCCAAAGAGCCCACCGCCACAGCTGGCTTTTCTGGCTTTATTCGGGGGCTGTGTGACTCAGAGCACAGGCCAGCGGCCGGGCACGGGCACGGGAGGGGACAGCTCCTTCTCGCAGACACACAGGAATCGCGCACGTCGGGGTCACCACTGGCTTAACGAAGGAAAACAACAACACAGTCACCGGCATCCGAGTCGGTGAGACTTACAGTTCGCACATCATAAGGTGCCAAAGAGACACAGACAGCAAAACGAACCGCATCTCCTTTTAAACCGCAAAACAGAGGCCTAACGCCTGGGCCGCCCCGTCCAACTTGAGACAAATACATCGTTCCACGTTTACGCAGAGCCTGTGGCTTTTAGGACTCCAGTGCCCTTCCCGCTCAGACGACAGAGTCCCGTCCGGGAAAACTAGACGTAGATCACAGTCAGCAGGACATCCCCTCCCCAGGCGCTGTGCACCCGGCAGGGCTGGGCGGGGCACGTGGCCGGCGGCCCTGGGACCGTCCGTCACTGGAAACACAGGACTCAGTCAGGATGGAGACTGTCTTTTCCTAACGGGGTGGAGCCCACTTCCGCTGGCATGGCTGGTCCCCGGACTTTCTGGAACAAAGTTGCTGCTTGGCCAGGAGGGCGGGGGGCTAAGGAAGGGCCTGGACCTGCTCCGGGTGGAGGGCCCCGAGCTCAGTACCCTGGTGGCGGCCACAGACGGGACACGGGGATGCGCACAAGCTCTCAACGGCTCCGCCTTCGGGGATCAAGTCCGCTGCGTCCACAGGGCAGCTCCTCAGGGCGTCTGCAGGTGCCGTGAGTGAAGCAGATTCCAGGAAGCTTCTGGAAATCGCGGCCTCCACCCCCTCGAGTCCAGGAAGCCCCCAGGACTCCAGCATCAGCCCCTTTCAGGCCTGTGGAAAGGAACGTTGAAAACCTAAAACTCACACTCCCCGGGCGTCAAGCCACAGGCCTCCACTTTCCACAGTGACCCATCCACATGCACCGGCTCCGCCACCCAGGCCCGGCTGCTTCACCTCTAGCTCCACCCCAGCCTCCCCAGGCCGCTAGCTTCACCGAGACATCCTCTCCCACCTGCTGGGGGAGGCTTGGCCCCTGGGTGGCCACCACCCAAAATGACTCCCAAATGCATCTGTCAGGGGTTTAGAAGTTGAGTTTCTTGGGGCATTGCACCAAGATGGGGGGACACTCTGAAGGCCACGTAGACGAGGTCTGTGCCCCAGGCAGCCTGGACTTCCGACCCTTTCCTGGCAGGGGAGGGGAGGAGACTCTTCCCCGGGGTCTCCGTCAGGGGCATGGGCACCAGGGGCTGCTCTGTGATGCCGGGAGCAGCTTCACCAAAAACCCAAGCTTCACCCTCCCCGCCCCCCAGGCCGTGCAGCAGGGGAGGCGGGAAGACGCCAGGAACCCCCCACATGCAGACACCAACAGAGGCACTGCTCCTCCAGGAGGGAGTGGCCGAAGTCAGATTAGCCACGTGATCTGAACGAGCATTTTCTACTCCCGGGATAGGTTTAACATTTTCCTCTAGTTTATACACTTACGTTAGATACCTAAAATACTCTCATATACATACAGAAAAATATCTCTGTGGAAAAGCACACGTGACGATAACAGGTTAAATATCTTTGATACAGACTCCGTTAGCTTCTGCGACATGTGCCGCAGCCTCCTACACACCACACACACATGCAGCCACGGACAGTCCACAGGCACACGGCAGGGAGCAGGAGGCACCCTGACAGAGCAGCTTCCTCACGCCCTGCAGGGGCCTCCGCACCTTCTCAGCTGCAGACCACACAGCACGCAGGGACCGGAGCGAGGCCCGACGATGACACACACAGCGGTTCTGCCACAGGTTTCTCACGTGCACACACACGTTTACACAAATGCTGCCCCCTGTGCATGTGGGTCCGAACCACGCCCGAACCACGTGAATGCCAGCTCCCCTGCCCACGCAGGGCTGGGGGAGGGCAGCGAGGGACAGCCCACGGCTGGCCAGGCGCCAGAGGACCCGCCCTGAGGCTGGCTTCGCAGACCAAAGACACGTGGACTCTTGGCAACGTATGTTCCAAATGCACGTGTGCAAATAAACATCACGATGGAAGATCCGCTGGAATGTCTGCCTCTGACAGCCAGTCCTTAGCTGCGGACGGTTTAAGGGTGTTGCCTGATAAACAGTCATGGAAAGGTTCCCTCCGGAACGAACACTCGTCAAACGCCCCAAGAGGCACGTCCACGCTCGCCGGGAAGACGCATTAGGTGGAAACAACGCTCGACTTGGCCACGTTGTTCAAAGGGACGCCGACCAGGAGATGGACCGGCCGTTTCTGTCCGGCCTTCCTGTCGCCTTTTCCCTTAATGAACTTTATCATCCCGGACAGAACGGAGGGAGACACGGAGAGGGGTTATTGCTGCGTGTATAGAACAAGACCCGTGTGCAGAGGGCGAGCGGGGCTGACACAGCTGTGGCTGTGGCTGTGGCTGTGGCTGTGGCTCTGGAGCGTCCGGCCCAGCAGGAGCAGCTCGGGAGAGCAGCAAGCCGGGGCAGCAGGGCCGACTCTGATCCCACCCCCCAGGAGCTGTGGCTCCAGAACGGGGGGCTCCCCGCCCGGGGGCTCTGCCCTCCCTCCTGACTTCACCCTCCTCAAAGCCCGGAGGTGGGGCCCGTGGGAGAGCCCAGCGGGGGCGTCCCTGCCGCTCAGAAGGTGCCCCCGACACCCGTGGTCCATCCGGCCCCGCAGGGCGGGGAGCGGGCTCCATGCCTGGCCTCTCTCCCCGGAGCTGCGATGGAGGAGCAGCGCCCAGCCCTGGGGAGCCCTGAGCACCCCCACCCGTCGCCGAGGGTCAGGCACCTCGCAGACGAGGCTGGGGGAGCCGCTCTGTCCCACCAGGAAAGGGAGAGAAGCCCCGCAATGACTGAAGACCGAAAGGAAGGGTTTTCTTTCAAATTGGCGGGTCTCCTGGTCAAAGCTCAGAGGCCTCTCGGTG